TGGAAAAATGAAAAATATGCAATTTTCACGGCCTCTACCACAAACAACCCTGCAATTATTTCATTCTCAATCTTACGTGCTAGAATGCACATTTTCAATTCGATTAAAAGGAGTACCCCGCTGTGCTCGACAAACTTCTGACTTAGAGCATAATGTCCTATAAAAGGGTAAAATAAGAAGACCAACAATTGCCAAAGAGTCACAGGATGAAAATTTCAGAAAACGACGATGGCGGCGCCGCTTGCAGCAGCTCCTACTTAGCAATTTTTTTTTTTGTGAAATGGGCGGGAGATTGGGATGAGGTGGGGGGTGGGGCGGGCCGGGCACAAGGTGGAAAGGAGTCGCCATGCTGAGGTCATGCCAGTCAACCGAATAAATGAAACAACAAAGACTAGGATACAGACACAAGCACACACTTACCGCCACATAAAATATGCGAAAGCATAAGTCTGTCTCCCAAACATAAGTCTGCCTCCAGAGTGTCGTATACCAGACTCATAGTCGCATAGTCTGAGTTCTGAGCTCTTGCATATAAATATACATTTTTTTCTTTCGCTGTTGCTCGGTAAAATGAAATTTACTGGAGCGAAAGAAATTGTATGATGCTCGGAAGCTGAGTGCTCGAGTCTGGTGAGTCTGCTGGGTTATAATGTGGATAAATCCCATTAACGCATGATTTGACAAAAGCTTGTCAGTGCGACTCATTTTCATTGGTAATTCCTAGTTTCGGATGTGATTTATGCTTGGTTAAGGCAGATAGTGTTTGCCAAATACTCGCCAACCAATTAGGGTTTTTTTCGTTGCAGAAATATATTGATTTTTGTTTAATTATGTTATACCTATTAATATTTGCAGACAGAAAACAGAAATATAAAGTCACCTATTATTTTTCATTTGTATTTTGTGATTAATTAGTCACAATTTTAAAACATATATTTTTGTCTTTTATATGTTATAATATATGGACTAAAAATGTATATATATTATTTTCACTGTAATGGTTGGGGTTATTTATTGTACACATTTTAATCAATTAGATGATGCTGTTTGCTGGTTGCAGAGGCAGTTCAACAAGCCGAATTACCTACAAGGCGTACTGGAAAATACTTTCGTTGAGCGTAGGGAAAAGTGGGGGTCATGCCACTACTGTTGCACAGAGGAAAACAGCAAAAACACTTTGCCACTACTACCTTTTCGGTTCACATTTTTTCCTCAACTGCCTGCCTTCCCGCACTTCGTTTTCTTGTACTTGTGCTGCAGTTACGTCTGTCGTTCAAAGCAACTAAAATTTTACTGACTTTGACAAGCTGCCTTCTGGCCTGACCCCCTCCCCCTCCCCCTCCCCCTCCACATCATTCCCCATATTCTCCCTCCCGCCTTATATAGAACCCACCGAGTGTGTATAGTGTGTGTGCACTCAGTCAGAATTGTGCCTGGTAAATAGGATTCATCTCGCGACGAGTCGCGACCAACAGCCGCTTGCTTCTACTGCGGCACGAAATGCAAAGTATTACGCGGCTCTGGCTCAGAGCCTGGCTGCACTGAGAAAAACATTGGTCAAACATTATTAAAAGACAGAAAATATATTTCAATAACTAGTTTATCGAAAATGCGTTTGGTTAATTGCAATAATTAATTTTATTCCGCTGGCATTCACCAGTTTTACTATCTTGTTTGAAAACTTAAACCTATTTCTTAGTATTAACATTTTGACAATGCTAAGTATATAGAATTCAAAAAATTGCGAATGACAGAATCTTGAATCATAAATTTACATAATTTAACATTTAATAGTCAAAAACTAAAGGAATTACGTTAAGTAAATAAAAATATCAATATAATTATTGAAGTTAAAGAGTCCTTAAAAGTGATCTGCATTGTGCTACTTTTAAAATACGTATTCTTCCGCGAATATCTGATAATGGATTCCAAAACTATAATTGCTTTAAGAGTGAAGTGCAATAGATAATCGCCTAGTGTAGTTTTTATTCAAAAAGGCGCCCTCAGACCGTTGATATTGCTGTTGCCATTGCTGCCTCTGTTTTGCGCCCAGACACTCAAGTAAATGGCCGTCAGGCAGTCGGGTGGCCACACCCCACACCCCACCATCCACCTCCACCCACCTTCCATAGCTTCCACAACTTCCATCTATCTATCTATCCGGCATCCATCCATGCATCCATACCGACCATTTTCGCCATGTCAGGCGGCGGCAGCCAAAAGTGCGCTCATCTGTGGTGCGACGGGCAAAAAAGTTTGGCGTATCTATGTGCCTGTTGTGTATATGGGTGTGTGTGAGTTTGTTTCTGTGTCTGGTGGTTGTCAATTTATCCTTTAGTTTCTCTTTCAATTTTTTCTTCGCCCGCCACCCACTCGTGCCACCCATCTGCCTGTTAGTTGCGTTTGTGGTCTGCCTTTGTGCCTGGCTTCCTCCTTCTGCTAACTGTTTAATTAAAGACTGCACAGAAGAGGGAGTTTGTCGTGTCAAAGATATCGCTGGCTGACCATCGACGCATATTTTTAGCAGGATGTCGCCGTAATTATAAAGCCGTTGGTGCTGCAAATAAAATAATTATATTTTAATTGAGGTCTATACAGTGTTCTAATTCAATTATTATTTTAATCCTTTGTAAAAAATGGCGGGTTCTATCTTGAATAAGTTTTTATAAAATATCAAATTTCTTTACATTTTCCTTTTTTGCTTCAAATTTGCGTTAATCTAAACCACTCATTAAAAGAGTAAATCGATCTTTAAAACGCGCAGTTCACTTTTCTTATTCTCCCTCTCTGTCTTCAAACAGAAATTTACTATTTGCAATGTAATTAAGGCCGTTTGAAGTTTATCCCTTTAGATATATACACTTATCTAATTACATAATTAAAATGAAAATGCTGGGACAAAAGCGCCAAAAGCAAGTCAAGCTGAACAGGGGATTATCCGCGATTTCGACTACATTCAGTCAGTTGGCAAGCGGAGTACACACGAGGTGCTGGCGCTGTTGCTTTTGATTCTGATTTGCAGTTGTGAGCCACATCAGCTCTCTTTCTCATCCCCAAGATTCCCCATCCTTCGGTGGCTGCAAACAAACATCGCCTGGGCAACCAGGCAACAACGTACACAAAAGGCAGCAGACGCAGACTCGCATTTCTCGTTGCCGGGAATATATCACGGCCAACACAATCTCTCCCCAGCCTTCTGGGCCATCTTGTGATGATGAGGATTGAATGGCAACAACGACTGCTGCCAGCGGGGGGGCATTCAAAAGGATGGCAGCAGGGGCAGCAGCAGCGGCAGGAGGAGCAGGAGGAGAAATAGGCAGATGCAAGGGGCGCTTGTTAAATTCTTTTTCATTTAGTTTTGCTGTCGATAATGATGCTGTGTCGGCAACCGACTTCGAAACACTGCAACTCCTCCTGCGAAGCCACCTTCCTGCCACCTTCCTACCACCTCCAATCCATCCACTTGCCGACAACGAAACTACGATGTCGATTTTGATGCATGCTTATGTTCGCTTATCCTCCTTCTTGTCGGACTATACTCTTTTGAAGAATATAGACAAAAGATCATGTCCCCAACCTTCCAGATATTTCGACTATTTATAAGAGTTTTAATAAAACAACAATTGAATGTAACTAGTTATTCTATTACTTACAAATGTATTAAACAGATTTTTTGGGAAAGGAATTTATATAAATACGCCACTAAAAACTAGTTGATAACTATATGTTGCTAATAAAGTTTTGCTTAACTTAATATTAGATAGTAATAGAAAACTGGCAGTTTTACATTAAAGAATGAATTGGTATTCAAAATAGTAATCACAATGCTTAATATTCTTTACCATTTAAACTTGAAACTTCCTTAACGGTTATATAAGGGTATTAACGAACACAACTTGAAGGCGGGCTGTTAACGTTTGAGTATTATATTCCCTTTTACTCCTCATTTCTTGAAGTCTTCACTTGCATCTGCTGGCGACCCCCACATCCTTTGTGCTTTTTTTTTTCTCTTTTTTTGCCCGCCCCCCACTTGTCGTTTTCCAGCTGCTGCAATATATGCAAATTATTCCTGGGAAGCTGCGAACGAAGCTTCGAGAAGGGTTTAATACAATTTACTTGGCCAAAGTAACGAATTATTGAACCATATGGTAATGCTCTGGACAAGAGACATAATTTAATAAATTTAAATGGGTCCGTTAAGGCATAAAAGGAACATATCCGGTGGATTAGCTCCATCTAAGCTCGCACGCTCCACACACACCTTTCCATCGACGCCTTTTGAGAGCTGCTGAAAGCGAGCTACCAATTGAATTAAATGCCCATCCAGATTGCCCATGCCTTTGGCCAATATTTTGAAAGCTGAAAGCAGAGCAGTAAGCCCAAAATTCGAACAAAAGCAGAGTGTGAGAGACAACAGATACTCGAGCTGAAGAAGTGAAAAGAACTCTCGAAATGAAACTGGTTCTGGTTCTGGCCCAAAACCAAATTGTATCTGTGTTCTCGGTGCTGGCTGGCTCGTGTGTCGCTGAGTCGCTTTGTCGCTTTGTTGCTGGGTAAGTGGGGGCTCTCAGCTGGTGTTTGAAAATGTGCTAAGTTGCCTCGCTTTTGTATGCACAAAGAAGGGGAGCAAAAAGTAGGGCCAAGGGGCAGAGTAAACAGCTTTGGGAAATGGCGGACAATTATGGGAGATGCGATGCGATGCGATGCGCTGCTGCTGGTAGTGCCATCGCTATGGCTAAAGCTATGGCTGTGGCTATGGCTATCTGTATGAGATACTTGGAGAACCCGAACCCGAACCCGAGGACAGTTGCCACTTTGGTCACGTACCAAAAAACGATTGCAGCTCCAGATATGCCCACATACACATACACACACTAAAACACTCAGACACTATATATATATATATATATATATATATATATATTTGGGTCAAATTTGCGCCTTATTTCGTAAGCAAATATTAATTTCGCCCTTGCGTTTTCGCCTTGTTTCGTTTCCAGGAATATTGTCTCCTCCGGGTCCGTTTCTGACGCCCAGTCCATCGCCATCGATCTCAGCTAGCCCTCGTCTGCAACCATCGCCATCGCTCTCGCCGTTCCCACAGGATGTGGTGCTCGTAGCCGGTGGCAGTCAAGTTAACGCCAACAGCAATCCCCAGGAACACGTAAGTTGATCTCGGCGAGAAACGACCAAAAAATTGTAGAAAAAAAAAACAAGAAGTAAATGTTCGAGGGGAGTTTTCAGGGTTACAGTGTTTGGTCCTTCATCAAGTTGGAAAAATGTAAATACATTTTATAGTAGATTATGAAACTTGTAATAAAATTAAAATAACAACTAAAGAAGGAAGGGGATTGTAAAAATAATGTTTTCTGAGTGTAGGAAATCTAATACCAACCAAAAGTTATGAAGTAAGTGAAACTTACTTATATGTGCCTGAATTTAAATTAAAAAAAACCTTTGTCACTTTTGAAAAACTTAAAATTTTTTAAAATCAATTTTTTTTGTCAAATAAATACTTTGCTTTTAGAGATTTTGACTTTTTTTTCGAAAAACCTTTATTTAATCTACCTCTTCTTTATAGGAGCGCAAGGCGGCGACGCCTGGCAGGAGACAGTCCATCCACCAGTTCACCAATGGCAGTCCCAACGCTGGAACCGTCGTCTTCCAGCCGAGCCCCTCACAATCGCCGGCCGCTGCCACGACGGTCATCGGCGTGACCAGTGGTGGCCTCATAGCCACCGCCGCCGGAGGAACTGGAACAGCCGGCCTAAGTGCCGGACTAGTGGGAGCTGGCAACAGTTCCGGAGTGGGAGTGGGAGTGGCCCTGCACAGCAATGCCATCGGGAATGAGCTGAATGCCACTCTGGTGGGGTCCAACAATATCCAGCTCAATAAGGTAAGTGTTTAGTGAAGCTTAGAACGCTAATGATTGTTTAAAACGTGACCCGTTTTTTTTTACATTTCAGAAGGGGACAAAGCGGGCCACCCAGCAGCAGCAGCAGCAGCAACAACAACAGCAGCAACAGCTGGGCCACCAGATCTTCAGCAGCGCCGTTGCACCCACCTCGATTAGCAGTGCGACGGCGGTGGCATCCGGCGGCGGAGGCTATGGACAGTTCAATGCCACCGCCATCAGCACGCCCACCTCGTTCGCCACGGCCACGGGCAGTGTGGTCAGCAGCAGCGCCAAAGGTCCGACGAAGGGTCAGAAGGGGCAGCAACAGTTCCAGCACTACCAGAGCAGCAGTCCCCTGATAGCGGACAGTCCCATCCCGAGTCCCAGCGGCACCATTGCGGCGGCTGCCATCAAGCCACCCACTCCGCAGCCCCAAACCATGCAGATGCTGCCCCAGCAGTTCACCATCTCGCAGCAGCCGCAGCAGCAGGCGCAGCAGGTCTTCCAGTTCATCCAGGGACCGCAGGGCCAGCTTATAGCCACCACTCCGCAGCATCAGCAACAGCAGCAGCAGCCGCAGCAACAACAGCAGCAGCAGCAGCAGCAAACACAGCCTCTCCAGCAGCAGCAGCAGCAGCAACATCGGTTCGTCAGCAATGCGGGAGTGAGTGGAGCCACCGGCAAGACCGGCAAGGCGCCGCAACAAATCCTGCCCAAGCCGCAGCAGGAGCTGCAGCAGCAGAAGAAGGGCTCAACGGCCGGAGGAGCTCAGATCTCGCAGACGCCGCTTCAGGCAGGCCAGTCCAGCAACAATCCCACCCAACAACAACAGCAGCAGCAGCAACAGCAGCAGCAGCAGCAGATCCTGCTACCTGCCACCACCAGCCAGCCGCAGCAATTGCTCCTCAACCAGATGCCCGTGCTGGTGCAGCAGAATCCGCAGGGCGTGCAGCTGATCCTTCGTCCGCCCACGCCCCAGCTGACGACCACGCCCTCGCTGGTCATCCAGCAGAACGCGCGGGGGCAGCCGCAGCTGCAGACGCAGCCGGCGCAGCAGCAACTGCTGCGGATAGTGGGCACCAATGGAGCGACCATGCAGCTGGCTGCCGCGCCCACCTTCATTGTGTCCTCGCAGGCGAACCTTATCCACCAGACGGCGGCGGGCCAGTTCCAGAGCGCCATCAAGTCTGGCACACAGCTCACCGGCCTCCATGCGGCATTGGCCCAGGCACAGGCCCAGGCCCAAGCCCAAGCACAGGCACAGGCACAGGCGCAGGCGCCACGATCTCAGCCGTTTGCCACGACGGCCACGCTGAACACACAGCTGCTCGGTCAGAGTGTGGCCGCGCAACTGCAGAATCTGCAATTGGCGGCGGCCCAAATCCAAATGCCCAATGGCCTCACGGCCATCTCCCAACTGCCGGCTCATCTGCAGCAGAGTTTGGGCGGAGCCACCATCAATCTGAACCAGCTAAATGGAGCCCACATCCAGCAGATAGCCAACGCCTTTCAGACGCCCCAGGCACCGGCATCGAATGGCGGCGGAGCAGCCAGCACGACGGAGCTCTTCACCCAATCCTCGCCAGCACATGTGCCGCTGGCCGTCACCCCGGAGCCGTTGCGACAGCCCACGCCGGTGCCCATGATGCAGCAGCAGGAGAGACAACAGCAAACGCAGCACATGATTGGTGAGTATTATTATTATTGAGATCATCCTGATAAAACATTTGACCGCATTCGAATGCATAATCATTTGTCCCTCATTTATTTATTAAACATTTTAATGAGTAAACAACCATCTTGCCTATACAGGCATTTCAAAAAGTCGAATAATCGCTTTCGTCATTTATTTATTAAACATTTTACTCAGTCAAATAGCCATCTTGCCTATACAGGCATTTTGCAAAGTCGAATGTATATATTTATACCGAACTAGCTAAGGGTTTAAGACTAAAAGCTAACTTCGCTCGTCTAGGATTACAAAATTTGTTTTAATTTAATAGAAAGGTAAAATTTTTAAATTTTATGGGACTTTAAATTGTTCTCTTTATCCCAAATTAAAAGCGGAAGGCCATAGTTGCTAATGCTTAAAGTAACTAGTTAGCTTAATGAATAAGTTGAAGGATTAAAATGATTTGTGTTTAAACATTTGATTAAACATTCTATATAATACATGATAAATACACAATCGATTTATTATTATTATTAATATTATGCTTAGGTAAGTTTTTGAGGGAATGGAATGAATTTTGATGCCAGGATTTTTTGTTCTCAAAAATTTTACAATTTTTTCTAATTTGAAATTAAGTTCAAGATCAAAAAATAAAATATTTCATCCAACTTTTTTTTTAAGATACAGCTTACTTTTAAAACTTACATTTTTAATTTCCCCTAATCATTTTATCTTATTTTCCCTGTAGGAATGAGTCACCAGCAGCAGTCTAGTCTGGAGATCCTACAGCTGCAGCAGCAGCAGGCCCAGATCCAGCAGCTGCAGCATCAACTGCAGCAGACCCAGTCCCAAGTGCAGCAGGCCCAGCAATCTGTCCAGGCGACCACGGTGCCGGAAACGAAGAAGAAACCGCGACCGCGCAAGAAGAAGCAGGTGCCAGCGCCATTGCCAGTGCCCACTCCTCCGGCAGCCACGCCGACGATTGTGCCCGTGGAGGTGAGGCCGCCGACGCCCCAGAAGATAGCCATTGCGGCCACACCCACGCCGCCACAGACTGTACGCTCCAAGTCGCCATCGCCTCCGCCCACCACCATCCAGCGGAGCAGCAACGGCAAGCTGGACCTCGGCGATGTGATGAAGTTTTGCGGCATCACCGGCGACGATGACGACGACGAGGACTATGGCATGGGCCTGGATGCTGGCCATCTGGCATCAGAGCCAGAGCCAGCACAGGCGGTGGCAGCGGCGGCGGCGGCGGCCGGCACGGCAGGCAGCAGCAGCAGCAGCGGGGGCGGCGGCAGCAGCAGCGGCGACATCATGATCTCCATACCGAACCAAAACGGCAGCGATGGCCTGCCCTTCACCCTGACCATTCCCGCGCAGTCTGCGACGGCGTCTCAGGCGGCGGGCAACGAATCAGCCACCGAAATACCAAATATCCTCATCAAGATCGATCCTAGTGCGGAGGCAGCAGTGCCGCCCTTCGGCCTGTCCACTCCACGACTGCCCACGGCCGAGGAAATCCAGAAGCAGGCGCAGCAACATCTGGCCCAACAGGCGGCAGCCGCTGCGGCGGCGGCGGCCAAGGCGACCACAACGGCCACTGCCACGCCCACCATAAACATAAGCCTGCCCAGCATGTCGCTGCAGCCGCCGGCGACGCCCTCACCCATGGTCACGCCAACGCCGCCAGTCAACGCCAACTCGAACTCCAACCCGGTGTCCACCACGGCGGCCGTGAAGCCAAGAAGAAAGCCTGCGGTGCGGCGGAATGCCAAGAAACCGGAGGCGACGGCGACCAGCATGATCTCCTCGGGCGGCGGCACAACCACCACCATCAGCAGCAGCACCAGCTCGATCCTCAGCAGCAGCCAGCCCACCACTGTGAACACCATAACGCTGACCACGCCCACCTCGGTGTCGAGCGGTAGCAATCCCACGCTGATGCTGGCACACGGCACACCCACGGCGGTGCCCAGCCAGATAGGCAACATTCAGATCTCGCAGGTGCACAACCACCACCAGTCCGCCATGCCGGTGAGCAGTGCGGTGGAGAACAAGATCCAGATAATGCCGATCCTGCCGCCAGGAGCCACGGTGATGGGTGGAACGCCGGGGACCGGGAATCATGCTTCCGCCGCCGGCCCATCAGCCCAGTTGGTCTTTCAGCCCACGGTGCCCGCGGTGGCGCCAACGATCGGTGCGGAGTCGTCGACTGGGTTCAAGCTGTCCAGCGATGGAAGGCAAATGCAGCTGGTGGCCATACCACAGGCCAATCCGGCGGCGCCGCAGCAGGCAGCTGGTGCATCGCAACCAGCGGTGGCCACGCCCGCCACGCCTGCTTTAACCGCCGGCGGAGCCACCATTCTGCCACCCCAGTTGACCGGAATGCCCGCCAATGTATCGGTTTCAGTGGGATCTCCCGCCTCGGCTGCGGCCCTGGTGCCGCAGCTCACCGGCAGCCTCACGCTCACCGTGTCGGAGCAGTGCGAGCGTTTGATCCTGCGCCATGATCCCAACAATCCCCAGGATCACCAGTCGCAGCTCATTCTGCAGGCTCTGCTCAAGGGTGCCCTGCCCAATGTGACCATCATCAATGAGCCGACGCGAGTGGATGCCAACAAGCCAAGCTTGCAGCCGCCGCAGCAGGTGATTCAAATCCCCCAGCCACTGGCCCCAACTCAGACTATTCTGCAGCAGCAGCAGCAGCAGTCGCTTTCCAAGGTTTCAACAGCGCCCAAAATAGAAGTCAAAGGTGAGTTAACTTTGCAGAGGGTAGATTTTGAACCACTGAACAATTTGTATTGTACCCTTGCAGTGGCCAACAATAGGAAGGGAGGACATACCGCTAGCAGTATGCTGGGCATGACCAGCACCACAACGACCATGTCGACGATGAAGCCACCGGCCACGATGCCCGCCAAGCCGAACGAAGTGATGTCATTCCCGCAGCTGCCGCTTAACTCGCAGGTGCTCATACAGCAGCAGCCGCCGCTGATTCCGGCGCAGCTGCAGCCCCAGCTGCAACCCGTCACCGTGCCGGTGAGCCTGCCCACTCAACCGGCCACCATCTCCGTTCCCATACCCTCGCCGGTGCCCGCTCCACAGCTGGCCAACAGTGGGCAGCAGCGGTACATCGCCCTGCCGCCCATCGATCCCACCACGCAGCAGTTGTTCTGCCTGAACAGCGTGACCAACCAGATCACGGCCATGAGTGCGGGTCAAACGGCGGCTTCGATTGGACCCACGGAGCGGTTGCTCATTGCTCCCGCGGGGATCAATGCCCAGCAGCTGGCCCAGTGCCTGCAGTTGGGCCAGCTGCACTTCAACGATGTGAACCCACTGCCGGCGCAGCAGCAACAGCCACAGCCTCAGCCACAGCATGCGGCGGCCTCATCTTCGATGGCACTGTCCATGCCACTGCGACCCCAGCCACCGCAGCAGCAGATCGTGCATCCCATTCAGCCTGTGACCAATGGCCTGACCATCACCACAACGGCTAGCAGCACGCTGACCACCACCACCACCACCACCAGCACCACCTCGTCCACGACGACGGTGACCAAGCAGGTGGCCAATGTGGCGCCGATAATAGACCAGAGCAAAGCGAAACTGGAGCCGGCCAAGGCGGCCACCAGTGGAGTCGGTGGCGGAGCCGTGGTCAAGAAGAAGCCGGTGAGGAAACCGAAGGCCACACCGACCAACGCCTCGGAGTTGGCCAATCTGAAGAACGCCAGCGTGGTCAAGCCGATGCCGAAGCTGGATCCCCTGTCGCAGAAGCCCAACAACAACCCGGTGCAGATTGTGCAACCGAATGTGGCCAGTGGCAAGCAGATGATTGTGGTCGGCAGCTCCAGTTGCACCACCACCACCACGACCACGATGAGCGCCAGCATCCAGCCCTTCCAGACGACGAGTGGCACTAAGCTGGTGGGCGTAACTGTGCCCATGCAGCAGCAACAACCCACTGCCACGGCAGCGATATTGCAGCAGCAACAGCACCAGCAGCAGCAACAGCAACAACAAAGGACGAGCTTTAGTTTAACGGCCACCACGGTGGCTACTGCTGCCCCCTTGCCATCGCCAACTGTCACGCCGGGGGTCAGTCAAGTCCAAATACAGCAGCTGCCACCCCAGCAACTGCAGCAGCAGCAGCAACAGCAACAGTTGCAGCCACAGCAGCAGCAACAGTTGCAGCTGCAGCCACAGGCCAAGCCACAACAATCGCAAGCGAACACTGTGTCCCGGGTGCAGACCATCCAACTAACGCCCCAGATGCAGCAGGTCTTCAAGCAGGTGCAGATGCAGATCCAGTTCCTCACAATCAAGCTGCAGAACAAGGCCACCTTCCTGCCCGTCTCCCCGGAAATCGATCCGGCGACAATAGCCGCCTACAACAAGCCGATGACCGATGTGGAGATAAATCTGGCACTGCAGCGACTCTTTGCCGAGCAGCATCGAATTCTGGCCTCCGGCAAGGAGGTGCCCACTCCGGAGGGAATGTTGCCCACGGCAAATGGCAGCGGAGGCTTTAGCCTGATGGCACAGGCAGTCCAGCAACAGCAACAGCAGCAACAACAACAACAGCAGTTGCAGGCGGCAGTGCCTGAGCCACTGAAGACAATTGTGCCCGCCAATGTGGTGCAGCCCAACAACCACTCTTCCACTTCTGCCTCAGGAACAACAACCGGACTGGCAGCGGCTCCCAATGCCCAGCAGAATATAACCCAGCGGATACACATCTATCCCATGCAACACCAACAGCAGCAGCAGCAGACGGGCAACAAACTGAAGCAGGCGCAGCCAAAGCCACAACAGGAGCAGCAGTCGCAGCAGCTTCAAGTAAAACCCAAAGAGCCGGCCAACAGGAACAAAGTCAACAATCAACAGCTGCAGCAAAACCCACAACAATTGCAGCAACAGCCACCCAATGGAAGCATCGTCAATATGTTGCCACAAAAAGTGAATATGCTGCCGATTGTCCACCAGCAGCAGCAGCAACAGCAGCAACTCCAACAACCACAGCAGCAGCAGCAGCCATTGCTCAGCAAAAGCGGACCACCACCTTTGATCTTCGCCAGCTCCACAAATCTGGTCAACACCAGCAGCAGTAGCAGTAGCACCAGCAACAGCAGCAGCAGCAGTAACACTCTTACTAGCAACTCTGCGATGCAAGTGAACAACATGTTGCCGATGCCACCATTGCAACCCCAGCAGCAACCGCACCAGCATTTGCAACAGCAACCAACACCAATCCTGCCGCCAGTGGCTTCTGCAATGGGAGTTGGAGTAGGAGTAGGAATGGGAGTGACCGGACCAGCAGCGATTGGAAGTCTAGTGCCAACACTGCCGACCGTACCGAGCCTGCCACTTTATATGCCCAACAAAATGGACGAAATGCCAACGCAGAAGCCGAAAATTGCACGCCTCTCCTTGTGAGTAGTTGGTTGAACAATGCCGATTTCAAGAAAAGCGGCCAACTGGATTGCAGATGCAGCAATGCAATGTGGAACTCGTTAATAACGCTTATATTTTCGCAGATTCGTGCGACAACTGGAGGTCGATCAGGAGAGCTGTCTGAAGCCGGACTACGTGAAGCCTTTCCGCACCAAGGACGAGGCGGTTAAGAGGCTAATCAGGTAAGAGACGGAGCGATATAAAGGTGAAAGTGAATCCATTACTAAGAGGTATTATTATGCAGGTACCATTGCATGCACGAAAACGATGTGGAGTTGCCGTCTGATGAAGACGAGGAGTTTGAGTCCACCGCTTTGGAATTCCAGGACAAGTTCCGCCAGTTGAACGGCAAGTTCCAGGAAATCCTAATGCAAGAGTCAACGGTAAGTAAACTAAACTAAACAAACCACTTGATATTAACTTATTTCCCAACCCTTGCAGCTGCCACATCGCACCTCAGAGTCACTGCAAATGCAGCAGCTGATGATCGACGATCTCAAAGGCGAGATTAACGACATACGCCACGCTGAAAAGGAATTGGAACAACAGCTGAAGGAGGAGCAGAATAGCGAGAAGACAACGCTGCTGGAAGGTGATCCGCAGTCGGAGGCCAAAGTGAAGGAGGAGATCAAACAGGAACCGGTGGATAAGCCAGCCCAGTCAGAGGATGTGGTGGACACGTTTGATCTGCTGAAGAAGAGCGCCGATGTCAACAAAGCGTTCAGTAAGTCACAGCCACAGCAGCAATCTGCAGTCAAGCAAGAGGAAAACAACGAAGTTGGCGAACCTTCAGTAAACGGAGCTGTGAAAAGCGAAGGCCAGGACAAGGAGTCCTCGAAATACATCAAAAAGGACTACGACAATTTCGATATCGAGTCCGAGCTTACCACGAGCTTTATAATGAAGAAAGTGGAGCACAAAGCGGCCCTGGCCAAAAGCGCTGAGAATCGCTACCAGGAAAGAAATCTGATGGATCAACAACAACATCAGCAGCAACAGCAGCAGCAGCAACATATCAAAGGCAACGGAGTGGATCCGGTGGATCAGGATGATGGCTGGTATTGCCTGCAAAAGGAGCTTAATCTTATGAACAATGATCCCATGCAGCAGCCGCAAGCGCAGCTAAATGGCAACCCGCAGCATCTGAACCTCAATCGCCAGTCCACGGAACAACAAGCCCACTATCTGGACAACGCCAGCGCCAACAACATAATGGCCAGCAGCAATCACATCGCGGATCTGTTCCCCAACGGATGCATTGACAAGAGCAACCAGAGCACCACCAGCAGCAGCAACAGCAGCTGCGTCAGCGACAACCATGCTGGCTCCAATCCCGTCAAGACTGTGTCCTCGTGCAGCGGCCAGCGGGAACAGCCGGTGGTCATTGATGCCGAACAGCAGAACGAGCACCCGGCCATCAGTGAGTTCTTCAGCAGCGACTCGGATGTGCAAAAGTCCGTGGAGACGCGACTGGAGGCCATGTTCGGCGAGTCACCCGTGCACCTGGACGTGAAGAGCAGCAGCGATGCCCACGACATTGAGTCCAATTTGGACGAGATCTTTGGCGATTCGAAATCGCCGGCTGCCAACCACAAGACTAAGATGAACATGTGGGTGCCAGATGCCACATTTATGCAGCAGCAGCAGCAGCAGCAACAGGCACCGCAACAGCAACAGGCAGCGCAACAACAGCAGCAACAGCAGCAGCAGCAATATGCGGCCGCACAGCAACCATCACAGCAGCAACATCACATTGAGCTGAACTGCAACAACAATCCCCGCTGGATGCAGAGCATGGAGGCGCACTACAGTGACTACCTCTCCAGCGGAACCAGCAATGGCGAGCTGGTGAACGGCGGAGAGTCGCGCAAGCGCAGCTGGGACAGCCAGCTAATGGGCTCTGGCAGCGACATGGAGGACGACAACAGCAGCAAGCGCCTGTGCACGGCCTCCTCGTCCTCCTCCTCGTCGCCCATGTCGTCGCAGCAGCAGCAACATCATGTCCAGGTGCCGCAGCATGGTCTCTTGGATCCGGACATGCTGCCCGCTGGATTCCCCCAGATGCTGATGGAGCAGCAGCAGCAACAGCAACAGCAGCAGGCCCAGCAGCAACACAACTTTGCCTATTCCAGCATATTGGACCAGCAGCAGCAGCAACAGCAGCAGCAGCACCAACAGCAGCACCAACAGCAACACTTTCAGCACAATATGCAGCAGCAGATGCATGTGGGCCACATGGGCGGAGCACCAGTGGTGGCTGGCGGCGAGTACGATGATGACATCAGTCGGCATGTGGCCAGCGCCATCGACAGCATCCTGAACCTGCAGAACAGCGGCGATTCGCTGCAGTTCTCCCTGGGCTCGATCCTCGGCGACAGCATGCTCGACGATCAGCGGCAGGCGGGCGCAAATCTTCCCAGCTGCCAACAGGAGCAGGTGCTTCAGCGACGACGTCAGCTGGGTGAAGAGATGAACGACTGCCTGATTAGTGGCGGAGGATCCGCTGTTAGTGGTGTGGCGGACAACAGTAGCAATATCCTGCTGGAGCATCACCACCAACAGCATCAGATGATGCAGAGCCACCAGCAGCAACCACACCTGCAGCACCATCACCATCAAAACATGGCCCAGGCTCAGGCTCAACATTTGGGACAGCTAAACGACTTTAGCTGCGTGGCCGGCGGCCTGGACGATCCGGTCAAGTCGATCATGACCTCTTGACTTGGAGCCCCAGCCTCGTCCGCAGCGGAAAATGCCTCCAACAGTCTGATACTAGAGTTTAATGCCACCACCTTGTGAAGAACGTTTGATAATAATGACTTCCTGATTGTATAGATACCCGTCTTAGTTGTCCTTGGTTATTGTTTTACCCCCGAGCACAACCTTTTATTAGACCTAAGTTGAGACACTGTAGCATAAATTGTTTTTACTTATTGTTTGTATTGTTTAGTCCAATGTTTTGTACAATATTTGAATTGAAACCCCCCTCAGATAACCAATTACTTAATGCAAGGGGACTGGTGAATGTGTAGGCATCCATCATCAAACATATGACAAAGCCCCAATAAAGCCAAGAAAGCAACTGACGTGGTGAATTGAAAACTAAACGACGAATAGCATCAAATGCTTCTCACAGAGGTACACTAAATGGAACCTAATCTTATAATTATATAGTTACAGTAACTAAGAGAAAACCCATAGACAATTTATTCAAATGAAACCAAGAAAAGTACGTATGAAATTGAAATGAATTGAATGATAAGAGAGAAAAACACGCGCAAAGAGAAAGGAAAGAAAACGAATTGGTTGTATAATTCATAATTAAGTTACATGAAGCAATTCTAAAAAAACAATTAAAATCACGTTGCCAATTTTGTTGTCGGTTGGAATATCAGACAGAGCAATTTATCCGCATCCAATCAATTTTTAGAGATCCCCCAGATAAAATATATTTATTTACGCACTTCGTTGCGGAAAAGCTTGTAAATAGTTAGAGCATGCAGTTGCGCCCCCAGAAACTGTCTTACACGATTATAAATATATAGCTAAGCATTTTTAAACAAGAGGAGAGATATCATTTAAAGCGCTTTACGTACGACTGCTTCTGATATTACAGACAAACAAACAAACAAACCAACCAACCAACCTATCGACGTGCTCAATTCGAGAGTAAAGAATATTTCGGCATAGCTACGGGTGTCATTGGAAAGCAAATACAAAGATCTTAGGGATTAACGAGTACCAACTATGGCAAACTACGAAGCAAACCAAAAGCAGTTCAAAAATCACAATTTTAGCCAATTTAGTTTAAACATTTATAAATTATTGAATCTAATGTAATATCTTATACACTTAAACCGATGAGGAGAATATCGAAATGGGGGGGAGGGGGGAGGAACCACATAAAAACAAAAACCACAAATTAACGAATCGTATCAATTGTATCTTGATCTTGCGACAAATCTGACTTGTGATTTGTGCCACGTTTTAAATATAGATGTCTGATTAGCTTGTAAACAAAAATACATAATAAATACGATTAAAGTCTATACAAAAACCCACACTCAGTAAGCCACTACGAAGTTTATCCAAAACGAATCGCGAGTCGCGGAAGCGCAATTGTAAATGTTTGGCGTGGGAAGGGCGGGCGCCACGCATCAATTACATACCAATTACAATACTAACTACTACTTTAATACCACCACTAACACACCTAATACGATACGTACTACCATGGACGGAATGCTTGTATTACGTGTAGTCTGTAAGGGAACTTCAAGAGGTACCATATTTTAAGATGTGCTTCGTTTATTCAGGCCACTTGCCCACCCATCCATCCATCCATGACCCCAGAACTTGAACCCAAACCTATCATCATCATACCCCCAAAACACAAAACACATAACAAAACTCCCACCTGTCCAGCGTTCCGTCTGAGTTGCATGATCTTGTATTTTTATTTTGAAACTTTCTAGTTATTATACAAAGACAAATAAGTTTCGTGTAAAAATGTACATGTAATAGCATAATTTAAGTTGGCAACCCAAAACTGAATAAATTTAAATCTATTGATAGATTATTAATGCGAATTGTTTTAAGTTGTATTTAGAACAAAATCGAAGCCCCACAACTCAAATCGGTCGACGCCCCTCCCGCAACCACCTTTCCACAACAAAAAGCGCAGTGTCGTCACTTGAATTGCATTGTTCAGCTAGATGTGTCTAAATGTAATTTAACATAAAGAGAAAACTAAAGATTTTTAAACAAACATTGTGAGTTTTAATTAAACATCATCAGCATAGGGAGAGAGAGACAGCAAAGCAAAGGAAACATCTTTAATATTTGATAGTTTATTAAGCCCATCCATTCATAGTCGTCATAAACATTAAGTACATTAAACAAAACAAAACGAAACAAACAAAAGATTCAATATAAATCTCACTGAAACGCAACAAAACCGAAAACCCAACTGAAAACGGAAACTAAATAAAAGGAAATGCAATCAAAGTTCGTGCATTTGCGTTTGTACTGGGTGAAATGTTCTTAGGAAAATAAAGAAAATTCCATACAATTTTAAAAACTATCGCATTTTATTATCGACTCTGTTTTCAACACGCAGGTTGCCTATGGGATCGAGAATGCTCTTGGCGCATTCTCATGTGAGATTCGTTTATTCCGTACTTTAAGGATTAACGCACAAATCGACTTTGTGCTGAGTGCAACTGAGTTTCTAGTATCCTGCTAACATAAACATATACATTTAACTACAAGAGAGATTACAAGGTTAAAACCAGCAGGCTGATTCGATTGATGCTACTGGCTAATGAGATGGGTTAGCAATGGCCCAATATCAAGTTACAGTAGGTGCTTATGGTAGACAATAAATTATTACAAAATAACAGTTCTCAGTACTCAGAATATGTTACAATCGACCACTACTACTGATTTTAAAATGACATTTTGTTTAGGAAGATGGAACGGGTCGATAATTTGTTCAAAATCGCTGGGGCGCAAAATGTTTTTGCGTTCTGTTGTTTTTCATCAAATTTAACATCCCCTAAAGCTAATCGATATTTAAGATCTCTGGCCATGTTTAGTAAAAAAAATTAAATAATTTTTGTTAGTACATTTTTCTGGATTCTTCGAAGAGGTTATGCCTTTTCAATATTAATAGAACACATTAACATTTTGCCCCTGCGATTTAACATTTGCTCTCATCGGTACAAATCGACCCAAACCCTCCATGGGCATTGCTTTATACACTTATTCCAGAAGAGCTCGGCCTGATTCTAAGCTTAGCATAGTATTTGGCATTTGCGCTAAAGTACGAATACGAGTAAAACGATTGTTGCAGCCTAAATGCGCCGACACTATTCGGTTTTCAGTTAGTTTCGTTGGCGCAACTAAGTTGCGATGCCTTTTAGTTGCCCGCTTTGGGCGCTAGTTAAGTCTTGAGCGGATAGACCGGCAGTGGATGGCCCTCCGAGTTAAAGACCCATTGCTCCAGATCGATTTCCTTGCGATCGTCGCTAAACAACAGATAGAAGTACTTCAGGGTCTCGCTCAGCCAAAAACTTTCCATCAAATCACGCAGACGCGTGTTCTGTGTGTTCTTCACATTTCCCATCGATGTGTAGCCCGCATTTACTTTGGCGTGAGTCTCAAACGCCTGGAAGATGGTCCACCCCATGTCCTGGTATGTGCGATTGCCAGTCAGGGAGTAGAAGTAATAGAGACTCTCCACAAATTCCGGACGCAGCAGGTTATGAGCGTCGTTTGGCTTCACATAAATGTCCTGATCGTCCTTTTCGGTGAGCGCAAAGTACGAAATCTCGGCCGCCAGATGTGTGGGATTCATCTTATAGGTCTGATAGCATGTATCCATCAAATCCCTAGCAAGTATGAGATGCGAGTCGGGCATTCCGTTATGGTGTCCCAGAATCAGAGTGCCCGGCAAATAGCACGTAAGATGGTCCATTTTCGGCTTGAAGTCTTTGCCATTGATCAGCTCGCCAATGTAGACCCAATGCTCGCGTGGAGTGCGCCGCATTAGCTGGGTTAGTACTCCATCTATTGCTTGCATATAATCCAAAATGAGACTGAAATAGACCATGGTTGCGTAAAATAAAAAATTGACAATGGTTCGAGCTTAGCCCCAACGAATATAACATATTGATTGCACAGCTGACTCCATCAGTGAATTATTATAATTATAATAACCAATTGGTTGCACAGCTGTATTGATTGCGTGTTTTGCATCAACAGTTGTGGAATGTTAGTTTAAGCATTTATATTATCCCATAAGTAAGTGTACTTTTTGTTAGTTCCGAAAAGTAAACTATGCCAAACTAGTCCCATTACTGTTACTCCAAATAGCAATACTTACTTATCGTTATCCTTACGGCCAGTCTGAATCCACTGCTTGAGTAGGTACTCGTAGTAGGAATCACCTCGAGCACCCAGCGAAATGGTGGCGTAGTTGCGGAACGTTCCCGTGTTGGCGTTGATGAATATGGGCACCAAGCCATGATTCTTATCCAGATCATGCACCTTTTCGTTTACTTTGTGAGCAACCTGAAAAACGTCAATTATTTTATATTCGATAATTGTCTCTTATCCGATTTATTTACCTGTTCATAAACGGAAACGTTTGTGGACCGACTCAAATCACGAAACTCTAGTTGAATGGTGGTGACCTCACTGGTGGAACTATCTGGTGACCATTTGGGCGAATGTGCCGACAGATCTCCGAGATTCACGTCCGAGTAGGGTATATTCGATGGCGATAGGAAAGCGGGCAACAAGCGGTTGCCCAGCTCCGATGCTCGTTCCAGGAACATTGTGTCGCCGCTCAGGTGATAGGCAGACAGCAATCCGCCCAGGACTCGTATGGTCACCTCGAACAGATTCACATCTCGTTTGGTATCGAAGCGCAGTGAATGCTCCACCCAGTCGCGCGCTTCTTTGAATTCTGTGGGTGAACGACAATATCTATGTCTAAAATTCTCTATATTTAAAAAGCATTTTTCCCCATTCTTAGACTAAACTAGACGCTGATTGTTATTTTATAATAATTATGGCAGTTTTTTCACCCTGACGGTAAGCGAAAAGCAGAGTTTTACAAAGCTTGAGCTTACTATGAATATCAAAAAGTTTTTAAATATATATATTTTAGCCATGATTCATAGTTTAATTGCATTTACTAATTATAGAAACAATTAAAAAGCGCTCTATTTCTTCATAGCTTACAACTACATTGATGGAAAAGTTTGTGACACTTTGATCCAGTGAGACCCAAAATATAATGAATAAGTGAAAGTTAAACGTTTGATTTCTTGCCCTAGAGAAAAATATAAATATGCTACAGTTTGAAAAAAAAGCAAACTCACCATCATCCAGTCCCATTATGTACATGGTGTCCAATGAATCCACAATGGTCAGACCCAGACCGAACCACTCGTGAGAGTATTGCGAAATCGGCTTGAGGTTGTCGTGTCCCCAGGCGTACCGCTTGTAGCCCGCCCAGGAGTGCTTGAAGGCGGCCACCACAGCCGACTGCCGCTCGTTGGTGGCGCCATGGAAGTGCTGAGCCTTCGCCAGGAAGGGCTGAATCTTGCGCAGATGATCCTTGAAGCTGACACCGCCCATATTCAGTGGACTCTTGATGGCCGCGTCGAGCTGTTCGCGTTCGCTGAGCGGCTCCCTTGGCTCTTGAGGCATGGGTTCCTCCACATTGTTCAGGATGTCGATGCCGCCGAGGTCCTGCTCCTTGTTATTCTCCGGCGGAGGCTGTGCCACGGCCTGCGGAGGCACTTGGGCGGCCACTGTCTCCGGCAGGCGGACCACGTTCTCGGCTGAGTTAGCATCCCCATAGGAAGCTAATTCATTAAACTGAAATTGATTGATAATTGAGATATCATTATGAAGTTTCACTGGAAGTGTGTCGGCCATAAATCAAAAAGCCAACTGCCAATCGAACTGATAGGCGGGGCTATCTTAATAGGCAAACAACGCTAGTCAATTAGGTACTTATCAATTGAGTGGGGGGCTCCTATTTACCTTATCTTTAAGAGCCTCCGCCCGGGGTGGCCCCTTATCTTCCGCTGCTGTGACTTCGGGTAGGTCCTTATCGACTCCGGGATGATGGTGCGGATTGGGCATGGGCAATTGATAGGGTGCCACCATGGCCTTCTCGTCCACATCCCTCAGGCTGGCGGCCAGTAGCTGATCGCCACTCAGGCAGAGCAGAACCGTGACACAGAAGGCGGTTATTCCCAGAATAATGAGATTACGCTGGCAACGAGGGAGCTGATTCCAGGCCTGAATGAGATATAAATAAAGATTAGGATGGGTTTATTTTGGCTTTCGGGGGAGGGGGAGACCATCCCCCGCTTCACACCCACCCGCCGCAGACTCTTCCTGCCCCGCTCGTCCACCGTCGTCACCAATGGTGATCCCGACGAGAGCGTGAGCGTTATGTGACCGCCGTCCTTCATTGCGCTCCGCTAAATGCGAGCCAAGTTCAGAGTGTGGGAGATTCGTCTGGGAAATTCCACAACATTCGCCTCGAATAAAAATCGATTGCTGGGCGCCGCTGCCAGCGGAGGATGAGGAGTTGGAGCTAACTAACCAAGCTTGGCCCGAGCTACTGTTTCGCTTCATTCACTAATCATGATCTCTATTCCTGCCTGTGCATCAATTACATATGCTAATTCGCCGCACTCTACGCAAATTACAAATAAGAATTTCTAAAATTATTTCCGCGAGAGCTGCATTTTTGGAGCAGTTTGCTTATCGACAATCGACCCATCGATAGGCGCTGTGATTTATATATAACCAATCGATACTATCGCTTAAAGTGATTTAGTTGATATTGACGGTATTCGGTGGGATGAAATCAAATCGGTTATTTTTTGAAATCTCTCTTTGTCTTCAGTTCAAGTTTTTAACTAAATACTAAGTCTTTAAGAGTTTTTATAATGGAAATTGGAAATTAAATTAGTTTGCTTGTTAAAAATCATGCAACTTTGCCCTTATTTATTTTTTGCACCTTAGAAAAAAATGTATTGTATCAATAGATTTACAAGTTTTCAAAACAAGTTTTATTATATTATTTTGATTACAGAACTTTATCAGTTTATAAAATAATGTCAGAGGGTTCGATTGTAAATTTCTCGCTAGGTCAAACTGGTCAACTACAAATAAAAGTCACACAACCTAGGGCAGTGCTACCAACAATATTGAGATATTCTAAAATTTTACGAATTACATTTTTTTCTAATTTATATTGTTTTGTTTTTAGTATAAGGTTTGAAGATAATTATAAACATTCAATAGAAATTTAAAAACTTGCACATCCCATGGTTGCACACTGCCCCTGCGATTCCTAGTCAATTATTGTACACACTTAGTTCGTTATCATTTAGCGGCGTAGCAGTTGTCGCACACACGAACTGGTTTGCCCGGCTGACCCTGGGCATTGATGAGGGGCAGCGTGTGCTCCGAGCAGGCCTTGCAAAAGATCTCCCCGCAGCTGCGGCAGTGGTGCTTCCGCCGCGTAAGATTGAACTCCCGCTCGCAGGCGGTGCAGTGGGTGGCTATGGAGTCCGGTGCCCAGATTCCGGGACTGCCGACCGACTCGGGCATGGCTTGCAGGGATTGGGCGGAGCCGGAGAGCAGCTGCCGCTGGCGACGCTCCTGGTCCTGCATCTCGGAAACCTTCAGTTTGCTAACGCTCAGTTGAATGCCGAGCTCCTCCAGCGTGGTTTGTGCCTCGGACCATTGGGTTCGCACTTTGTCCAGATCGGCCTTCAGCTTGCCATTCCTCTCCTTCTCCTCGGCCAGTTCCTTGAGGCAGCCCTGCAGATTGGATATCTTCTCCTTCAGCTTCAGCTCCTTCTCCTGCAGGGAAATGCGCCACTCGCGTTCAATCCTCGACTCGGCCTCCGCCCGGGCAGCTCGCTCTTCGCTGGCGGTCACCTGGGTGGTCAGGGTTTGCGACGTGGTCTTCAGAATTTCGCCAAGGTTGCTCTTGTCATGGGTCCACCTATGGATGGAAAATAACGCTTTTATTCTGGCTAGGCAATTTTTATTTGAACCATTTTTTTTATTAAAATTCTAAAAATAAGTAATTCAACCAAAAACTTTAAATTAAATTTCATTGTATTTTATTCATTTTACAGAAATCAACTCAATTCAACCAAAAACCTTAGTACTGAAATTCTATGGACCAGAAGTAGAACTACCTTTCCAACAAACAGTTATCCAAAATAAGAAAAATCGACCAAAAAACAAAAAAAAATGCAATTGATGCAGAGTTAAGTCTAAAACTTTTTGAGGTATAAGATTCGAGCATTAAAATTGCTCACAAATAAAAAGGAAATAATTTCAAAAGAGCAAAAAGAAATACTTTAAGGTTAGTGGGCTTCATATACTTTGTTTCGTTGAAAATTCTGACCATCCCGTTTCCTAATTTACTATTGCCACTCAGCGATCTTACTTCTTCTCCAGATGATCGATGGTACTGGCCATGTCCTCCTTCTGAAGCTCCAGCTTGGTCATCAGCTCCGTCTTGTGCGTCAAGGAGGCCTTGCAGTCCTGCCGACGAAGAAAATAAGCGGATGTACCAGCGTCACAATGTTCCATCATTAACTCAAATCTCGGTATTAGTAGGGTGAAAATGAAACACATGGGGTTCGGATAAATTTTATTTCTCTGGGTTCGATTTAGAGGAGGAGTACGAGTATTGGAATATAGGCTGATGCTCCAACGCGTATTGTACATTGCATGGATTCATAGATTCATATCGTCTCAATATTTATTTATATAATATAATTACAATACTTGTATTTGACTAGGCTGAGTGTATAATTACAATATAAGCTGTTGCGTGGGGACCCATACGTACATACATATGTATATTAAACATGTGAAGCCTCTTAATCGCACTATACATAACATATATACATACATACGTCGTTATATTATAGTCGTATATAATCATTGTTTACGGGTGCTTTGGGAAGATAATTTAGCTAACAGGTTGCGTACAGTAGTAATTCAAAACCTTTAACAATTTTTATACTGGTATTCTATTCCATTAGGAGATCTGGTCTAGGGATTAAAGGCATCCTATATGTTAGTCGTGGACTCCAATGTTGAAAGTCTTGTGAAGCAGTTGCACTTTGAGTTCCGTTCGGGACCGGACGCGGACTTTGAGTGGTTGTCCAGGTCTGAAGGATGTGGGAGCAATAAAACCTGTCCAAGTTTTCACATATCAGATTCAATTAATTTGCCTCTAGTTTTTTAATGAATTTTAAGAAAATCTTTAGGCACTAATAACTTTTAAGTTTTATAGCCAGACGTTTAAATATTGGTTACTAAATAAATTTCAATATATATAAATGCGGTCAGTCACTAAATACACTTAGAAGGGATTTTAACTTAATTGTAGACATCAGGTCAAATCTATGGACTGTATAGATTTGTGTACAGAAACGGGATAAGTTAACCAAATTGATACAGTACTAATTCTGTGGGTGTGAAAAGCAAAACTGGCTCTATAAACTAAGGATCTTATTCTACATTAAGCTGCTGTTTAAGTATCTCCGTCGTCTGTTTGTTCCCGGCACAGGACGTAATCGCTTTGGGAGGCATCCACGCCAAAATGCTGGCTGACCTCAGCCGCCGCCTCGGCCAGTTCTTCGTTCAGGGACTTGGCGGACGTGGGCATCTTGGCTTCCTTACTCTCCTGCGGCACCACCTCTGAATCCGGATCTGGAGCATCTGGTACATCCGGAGCATCCGGCTGACGCGGCGACTTTCGGTACTTGCTCGGATCGAAGGGCGGAAAGGCGTCCATCTTGAGGTGCATCCGCTTCATGGGCGGACCGGCGTCCTGTTTGTGCTTCTTGGTAAGCGCCTCGAACTTCTCCAGATTCTGCTGTCGCCTTGTATTGGGTGAGCGGTCTCCGCCATAGGGTCCGCCTCCCGAACCCGATCCCGATCCATGGTGATGCTGGTCGATGAGCTTCGATTCGTATTTCTTTTCTAGCGATTGTAAAATGTTACCAATTTGTGAGGCTTTCGTTTGCAGGCGCGAGACCATCTCGCCCTTCTGTGTGAGTTCATCTTCACATTCCTGGTTGAATTTTAGACGGGATTACGTTTTGACTTTTAGGCTTAAACCGATTTAATGGGTGCTAATGGTTAAATCATAAACGAAAGCTTAACACGAAGGGGACCAGATGAGCGAATGAATGTGTGCAGATGAGTTGTGAGCGGTGTTAATGATTTGGATGGCTCAATTGGTTTCTACAGAAAGTAATCTATAATTGACTACCCAGCCTTCTATCCAATTGAACACATCCTCACGATGCTGAGTGGACTACTCACCTGCAGTTTGCGATACATCTCCAGGTTGATTTGCTTGATATCGTCCAATTGGCGACGCAGCGAGATGATGGTGTCCTGCTTCTCGTGGATATCCTTCTCCAGCAGCTTCATGGCCATGTCGGATTCGGCCTTGAGGGACACCTGCAATTTGAGCTCCTTCTCCAGTTCGCTGGTCTTGCGGCGCTCTTCAATCAGCTCCTCGGACGACTTCTCCTTGTCCTTTTCGGGGGAACTGCCAGAACCGGTGGAATTGTTATCCGCTGCCGGAGTGGATTGCCGCATGGCCTGGTTTTCGGCCTGGAGGGCCAGCAAACTGTTCCTGGCAATGGCCAAGTCCTCCTTCATCAGAGCATTCGTGGTCGTAAGCGACTCCACCTTGGCCTGCAGATTGCCCACCGTGGCGCTGAAAGATGGGGAATAACTTAGCTGGGGGCGCTCCACATGGGATGGGCCATAACCCACTTTAGGTGCCTGTTGAGCTCCTCGATGTAGTTCTTCTGGTCCAGCACCGCAATCATGTTGCCCTGCCCAGTGGCATCCAGCAGGGCAGGCGGAGCACTGTCCTCCGGAGCGGCATCGGCATTCCGGGAGCTGGAGCGCAGGTACAGCGAGAAGTCAATGACGCCCTGCTGTGAGTCCAGATCCTCCTCCTTCACGCACAGATTGCAATCGATCACGTTCAAGCCCACCAGAATGCCCATTATCACAACGATCTGCAGCAGGAGGAAGAGATGGGTTAACAGGAATCCCCCTACCCCTTTGGGGATATAGGCACACTCAGACCTCGTCGCTCATCATCAGAGCATGTGGCTCGTAGTAGTCGTACAGCGAATCCTCCCTGTGCTCGATGAGGGCCTGCAGGTAGTCCGACAGCTTCTTCTGCATCAGGGCGATCCTCAGCCAGGCCCGAGCCCGGCCAATGTGGGTGCGAACCGTGGGCAGATCCCTCACACTCGCCGTAATGTCCTGCGCCTCCGGGCAGTAGTGCTCGACGCTCTGCAGCAGGTCCCACAGCTCCTTGCGCGGCCCGAGCAGACCCTTCTTGGGCCGCAACCCGTGGCCCAGGACGTGCTCGATGACGATGAAGAAGTGCTGCAGCGGCAGGTGATCGGAGTCCAGCATGCGGCCGTAGCGCAGCGACTGCTCCAGCAGCTCCTTGACCACCAGCTTGCAGATGTTCACCAGGTTGCTGCGCTCGATTTCCGCCGTGTCCCGGGCTGCAAGTGGAGAAACCGCGGGCCTTAAAGATTAGTGACTCGGCCGGCGCTGAATTTTGCTTCAAAACAACTGACAACTGTTTAACTGAGTAATGAACGTTTATGTGCTCTCCTGGCTGCTGTTTTTCCTGGCGCCCGGGGGTTGTCCCATCTACAGCATAGACCTGGCCACCTTGGAGGTGCCCACCAACTACTTCCAGAACGAGCTGACCCTGCAATCGATGCTTAGCTCGGAGTTGCGGGAATACCGCAATGGCCTGAACGAGAGAATCGGTGGTCAGCATTCTCCGTCGCCAAGGCACAACCAACAGCCCGATTGGCTCAAGGATCTGTCCAAGGCGGCGCGGAGTACCTCGGAGACGAGTGTGACCTTTCTGGGCACCAATCTGTTCGGCAACTGCCGCAAGAACTGCTTTTCCACGGAGGACATTGCCCTGATGTCGGCCCGCAAGGACTTCGAGCTGCTGGTGCCCAAATCCTTTCCGCAATGCCTGCTCAGCGACAGAATTGTGCACATGCTCATCAGGTACTTTAACACCGTTAACCAGCTGGTGAAGAGGATGTCGGACGAGGACACGCGACTAATCCTCCAGAGGTCTTTCTACGACGCTCTGGGCGGCTACCTTCGCTACTACCTGCTGCCCATGGCCCAGGTTTCCTTCTACGCCGGTCGCCTCAAGCTGAACACCGTGGAGCGATTGGTGAACATCTATCGGCAGTGCAAGACGGCTCTTAATACGAACGGAAATGGCTGGCGAACACCGGACAAGGACATACTGTACAGGCTAAAAGGTGTCAAGATCCAGCCTCTCAAGCTGCCCAGGAGGTCCTGCAAGTCCGAGGAGGATGCCTCCAGCTGTGCCCTGCTGGATCAAAGTTGTCTTTCCCAGGAGTCGGATCAGGACCACATGGTTGTGCCACTGCCGAGACTCGAGGCGGTGGATGAGTATGGCTTTCTGAACAACATCTATGTGCCGTTCCGCAAGCGGAGGATCTACAATCTTCGCTCCCCGAAATCCGCCTTTGTTCTGGTGAAATTTTTCCAAGCCCTCACCAACTGCCATCGGTTTCTGGCCGTGAGCCAGGTCGACTACAATCGCAAGTTTCTTTCCTGGATAAGGGAGAATGTGCAGATGCACTACCAGGATGAGGTTTTCTACCCGGGGCTGGGTGGGATCCTCCAGGTCAAGGAGAGACTTTTGATTCAGAAAAATAGTCGCGAGGAAGAATACCAAGAGACGACACCAGCCGACAAAAAAGAGGAGGCCGGATCTCCCTCCTCCTCCTCGGGAGAGGACTCCCGCAAGCTGAGTCGCTCCGCGATCCACTGGCAGGAGGCTCCAGACTCGGAGCAGGAACAGGCGCACCAGGACGAGTGGCTGTCCGGATTGGAGAGGGTCCACACCCGCCAGGACGAACTAGAGGAGTGTCGGGAGTGCGACAACGACGACACCTTGATTTGGTGCATCGCCGCCTTCCTGGCCTTGCTGCTGCTCCTCATTCTGCTCATCATCTGCTGCTGCATGAAAAGGGGCAGGAAGAAGAAGGAGGTGCTGCTGCCGGATGCAGAGGCACCGCCGCTCAAGGAGAAACGGAAAAAGGAGCCGCTGATAGCTAAGAACACCCAACTGGAGGTCAAGAACGTCGACGAAGGCGTAAATCAGTACTACTATTCCGGATCTGGTCGCCACAGCACCTCACAGAGATCAGTTCAGGATGATCGTAAGTGAAAATTTGTGTCTATCCATTGTGTCTATCCCTCTAACACTACAGGCTATCCGGCGAATCCGGAGCTCGATTCCTACACCTCCACCTCCTCGCTGGGCTGTCAGTTCAACAGGAAGTGCGTGCCCCTAAAGTTCGCCCGCTCAAAAGGGGAGGAGTACTATGTACCCGACAAGAGTCGCGACGAGTTGAACAAGCAAGTTCCCGCCCTAGCTCTTCTCTCCGAGGATTCGTTCGCTCGCCGAGCGCGCCAACCTTCCAAAAAGTCGGCTCTAAAATCAAATGAATCCCCAAATCCCACTTCGGAAGGCGAGCGGACCGCCCTGGACAAGGAGAAAAAGCGACAGAGGCCCTACGGCATAGAGGCCAAGCGGAAAAAGGACAAGGACACCGAGGCGATCCGGAAAAAGGAGGTATGCTATCAAAAATGAGTCAGCTTTCGAAATCCTGAACCCAGAATCACCAGCAGACTAAATCCTCAGAAGAGAGAAGTCAGTCAACGCCGGAAAGGCGAACGACCAACCGAGGGAGGATCGGTAAGCCAAACTATGTGTTTAAGTTTCGCAATATTTTAAATTAAAAAAAAAATACCTAAAACAAATGTAGCTTTTTCTCAATATAAGCATTAAATACATTAACCCTTTTTCCGAATACCAGTGACGGACAACGAGTCTACCGACGATCCTCGCCTGGACCGAAAGAAGTCCAAAGAAAAGACGGAAACCAGTGCGGTTCGTAAAAAGGGCGGCACTGAGACTCATCAATTCAATTCATCGGATGACACGAGAGTAACCCCGGCGATCTCTCCCCAGTCGGTAAAGGATTCCCCCAGCTGGGAAACGACCTTTGAGGATAACTAATCGGCCATTTTTCTTATTTGCGTCGCAATTATGTTTTTGATTATATTTTATGATAAGGTAAAAAAACCTTTCAATTTTCTAATTTAAACTTTTAATCTTGAGATGTTTAAAAAACTAAATTGACTTTTGAAATTGTTTTTCAATGCTGCGGTCCCAATCAAACTAATTAGAACTTAATACCACAAACGGACAACAAGTAAACTCGGCAAAAGATGGACAAAAAGCTGGAATCGCCAAATTAATTTGATAATGAAAGATTAATCAGACTATTTCAAATATCTTCAGATAGCTAAGGTTGGTAAACGTTTTATGGTAAAAACGGTCGACCAGATTGTTGTAAAGGCAATTGTGATAAGCTTATACATATAAGTAAGATAAAAAAAACCCTCTGAGTTTAGTTCCCCGAAACGAGAGAGCTGGCAACCAAATGTGCAACAATGCAAAAAGGCATGCAAATTAATAAACGATAACAAAGGACAACAAAATCGAGAGCCAAGATCTAATCCATACTTTTCTAAACGTTTTCGTGCTGATATAGAATCTTAAGTGGTAAATCTTTGGATTGTTTACTGGCGATTATAGTCGAAAACTACACGATAATCTAAAAGCAAAAGTTCCCGACAAAACAAAAGCATAATCCAATTAATTAAAACCTAAAACGTTAAAGGTTTCAAACCTTAAAACAATTATAATCGTAACCTACACGTTAAACTAAAAGCAAAAGTTTACGACGTTTTGTAACAGTTGAACATAATTTAAAAAATAAAAAACCTTACTAAAAAAAATAAATAAAAACCTATTATTATCACCCAAAAACTTTCACAAAGTATGACTTGGATCTAGATATGCTCCCCATTTTGTTGGCCTGTGCTCTCATCGGATAATCAAAGTGACAAATGAATAGACACTACAAAGTAGAAGCGTGCTGGGCAACAGAGGCATCAAGAAGCGACCTACAGAGATGCGACCACTCGGCGAAGAGGCCGACACTCTGGTGCTGCGACTGGGAGTGCGACTGGGACTGGCCGAGTGCCGAGGAGCCACTGTGGACCATGTCGGACAGCCGGCGGCCGATAAGGTTTTCAATTGCCATAATACCATTGTCCGTGATATCCAGAACTCCTCCGTTTCCTCCTGCTCCTCCGCCACTTCCGGTGGACATTCCGGAGAAGCGCTTGCTGTTGCGCTTGCTGGAGTTGGAGCCCGTGCTAAAGTTGGACCCAAAGCCTGTGTTCGAAGTGCCGCCCAGCTTTTCACTGGCTTGCACTGCCTGGCTGCCTGTTCCGCCGGCGACATCGATGTCCTGCAGCTCCTTGAGGCACAGCCACTCGCCATCGACGGACACCCGAAAGTTGCACAGGTAAATGGTGTCCTGGACGCCGCCGGCCAGCTCCTCGCTGGTGTTGGCATGCGAGGCTTTTGGCAGGGCAATCGTGTTGCTGCTGTTGTTCGCCTGGTGTTGCTGCTGTTGTTGCGGCAACACCAGGGGTTGCTGCTGTGTCTGTTGTTGTTGCTGCTGCTGCTGCTGCTTCGGTTGCACTTGTTGTGGGGGTGGATTCTGACCTTTTTGTGCTTTGGCCGCTGCCGTTGCCGCCCTTGTTGTTGCTGTTGCTCCAGTTGTTGTTGTAGCTGCTGCTGCCGCCGAGGACTTTGCAGACTTGCCAACTTGTTGTTGCCCCGTTTGAGGCGCCTTCTTGGCCACAGCTGCTCCTGCTGCGAATGACGTCGTGCTGCTCATTGTTGGCGTTTTCACCGCACTCCTTAATGGCTTCGCACTCGTGCTGCTGGCACTTGATCCTGCCACTGTACTAGCTGATTTTAGGCGATTGCTGCCACTGCTGCTGTTGCTGCTGACGTTGTTGTTGATGGTCGACGACAACTTGGTCTTTTTTGTGTCCTCGACAAGACCACGCATTTTGCTGAGGCTTCAAAGCTACTGCTGGTGTGTATGTACGTGGGCGTCCATAAAAATACAGATATATACATCGATATTAGATGCTCAATAAGTTCAAAGTTTCCTTTGCTGCAGATTTTCCTCCCCTGCTTTTATATACCTTTTATATACCTTTGACTGTTTTCTAGTTTTGAGAACCTCTTTCTAAGAGGTTATTCCTTTTGAAATTAACCAAATAACTGAAAGATTATAGCCGCTATAAGGTCGCACCGTTATCCTGTTGTGTACGCGTTGAGTAAGACTGGCACAAAAGTTTTTTATCCTATTGATTTGTCAAGTATGCAAAGCTCACAAGCTTTTTGCGAGCTTTTGTTGAGGGTGTTCTTGATAAGGTGCAGATATATTTAACATATAACCGTTGACACTTTTCCGATGCAAGACTTTTAGATACTTGTTTTTAACTATTTTCGGTTTCAATTGTTGATTTTTAAATATTGTTTATTACTAAAAAATTAGAGAAAAGTCGAAAACTTCCCATAGTCCTAAAAATAATGGAATGCATTTTTGTAATCAAGATAGAGTATCTTAAAACCCGTCCTATTAAAATCTTTTAAAAGCAGATATGAATATAGATATGTAAACAAATAAATGTAAATATTTTATAATATGTTACTGCTCTCAGTTTCGTTTTTTAAATTAATATCTTTAGTTTTTTCACTATCACTTGTGTCTCATAAAATAACGATTTTTTTATTTGTAAGTGATTTATCTTTGAGACTTTATTATGTTAGTAGTTTTTAATTATTTACTTTATTAATTATGAGATTCAACTTGGTCCAATATATACTTCTCCTTAAATAATTTTTTTTTAATTTTAAATATGTTTTAATTTAAGCTGAGTTTTTTATCGCACTGTTTATACATGTTCCTTTATGCATTAATTGAAAGACAATATACATACATATGTAGATATTTTAGAACAGAAGACAAAGCTTATCATTCTATGAATAATAGTTATAACTCACCGCGTTTCATTCTTTTTGCTTTCAATTTTGAGGGCGACGGAGTGGGAGCACCTGCATTCGCATCAGGAGCAGGTGGCGATGGCACAACAGGTGGCATGGGTTCCTCGGGATATGGATAGGTGGTGGTTCCGTCAATTACCTCGGATGAGGCGGCCGCAGCGGCTGCATTCGAGAACTGCGTGGAGATGTGGCTAAATATCTGCGAGGATATGCTCTCCGTTCGCCGGAAGGTGTTGCGAATGCGGTCCAAAGAGGAAGTGGATGTGGATGTGGCGGACGTGGGCGCAGGCGCCGGCGCACCAGATCCCCCGTGGGGGGCGGAACCGTAACTGAGGCACTTGGGGAATGCGAAAGCGATTGGGAGTCTTCGCTCCTTTCGCGACGCACCAGCAGATCGTCCGTGCTCATGGCGAATCACTCACTTCGCGACACTTTCAGGCACACTACACAAGATCACATGAATTGGCCCGACTCTATTATTCAAGCTATTTTCGCTTTTTTCAATCGCGCACGGAGTAAACAAAAAAGTTTGTCAATACAAATTAAAACAGCTGTTGCATCGCTGATTGGGGAAGGGCGATACGTGTCATCGATGCTCGATAACTCAACGAAACTGTGAGTAAAAGTTATCGAACTAATACTACTTTTGCCTTGCAGTTCATTGGCAAAGTAACAACGAAAAAAACTTTTAAAAAAGCCTAATGTTTATTATTTATTAAATGAAATTGATCAAATATAAATATATTGTTTATAATTTCGAAAACTATTTTTAAAAAAATGCGTTAGTCCCATTTAAGCCAAACTTGCATCTAATCTGGCAACGCTCCTCTCACTTCTTGCCGCCAAAAATAATTACTAGTGTTTATTTACGAAAACAGCACGCGAAATCAAAAAAAAGGACAACGAATGGACGTGGAAATAAAGCAGCAGTTCGACGAGATGGGCGTGGAGCCCGCGGACGCTGTGCTGGATAGATGCGTGGAGTTGGCCATCTCGTACAACGTCCACGACGCCACCGAGTTCGTGGAGCAGTGGATGGCCTTCAGCTTGTCCCACCTCCATGGCGAGGATCCTGCGCTGGAGAACCTGGGTGACTTCGAACGCAAGGTGCTGCAGCTGCGGAAGGACAAAATGGGCTCCAAGGCATCCGTGTCAAAGGCCAAGTCCTATGCTCCATCCTCTGCCCAGGAAACGAGCTCGCTGGCCACCTATGGAGTGATGGAAGACGATCCCATGCTTGACGACTATGTCAGCGAGTCCGTGGCAGACACCTCTGCCATGCACACGCCCAAGGCTAAGAAGGATTCGGGACGAGCCTCCAACCTCAAGGGCGGAGTGCTCTTCAGCCCTGCCAGCTACACACCGCAATCCGCCAAGAGAAACTCAACGATTGGAACGCCAAACACCTCAGTGGCCGGTAAACCAGGCGACATTGTGGACTCCTTTGGACACCCCAAACTGCTGGCAGGTTCCAGCTGGCAATCGCAAATGGAGCACCAGCTGCCTGTCACCCAAAAACTGCTTCACAAAGACGCCCCACTGACCCTCGCCAATCTGGGCTACATGAACGATCTGCTGGGCGAGCGATGTGATGACCTGCACGACCGCGTTGAGGACACCGGACGGGCGCTGGTGGACAAGAAACTCGGAGCAGCAGGAGCGGCCGAGTGCAGTTGGTATCCGCACGACAAGCAGGCTCTGCAGGCTGCAGGTGGCCTCCATGCGGTGGGCATGATCCACTCCGAGGACGATGGCCCACTGGATGCCCATTCCGCCTGTTTGGCTGTTATAGATGACTCCACAGATGAGGCTGAGGACAACTTCCTCTCACTCAACTTCTCCAGGATTAGGTCGGCCAGCATATTTCCCGGCCAGGTGGTGCTCGCCAAGGGATTTATACCCAAGGGCAAGACCTTCGTCGTAGAGGAGATCACCACGGAACGGAAACTGACACCGCCCACTCCACTTAAAGTGGACAGAGAGCTGCAATTCGTGGTGGCCGCCGGACCCTTCACAGACAGCACGGATCTGTTTTATGAACCGCTGCACGACCTGCTGAAGTACATCAAGGAACACAGACCCGATGTTCTGGTGCTGACGGGTCCGTTCCTCGACGCCGATCACAAAATCGTCGGCGAGCTAGCCGAGACTTTCGATTCCTTCTTTGAGAAGATGATAGCTGGAATAATGGAGGCGGTTGGAAGCCACACCGCTGTGCTGCTGGTCAGCAGCCAGAAGGATGCTATGGCGCACTCTGTCTACCCAACGCCGCCGCCCACTCTTCGCAAGACGTATCCCAATCTGCACATGCTACCCGATCCCTCGCTGGTCGATTTGGATGGAATTACATTGGGCGTCACCTCCACCGACGTTGTGGATCATCTGCTGAGCCACGAGTTTGCGGCAAATGCCGGCGAGCGGATGCACCGGGCCATCAACCACTTGTTTCACCAAGGCTCCTTCTACCCTTTGTATCCGCCAGCGGACGAGGACATGGCCTACGACTCCCAGCTGGCGCTCAAGTACGCCCAGATTAAGCAGCTGCCAAATGTACTCATTCTGCCGGGCGATCAGCGGCACTTCATCCGCCTGGTCAGCGACTGCTTGGTGGTCAATCCCGGTCGTCTTTCGGACAAGAAGGGCGGAACTTTCGCCCGGTTTCTGGTGGCACCCTCTGCGCCGGGAAAAGCGGCCAACATGTTCAACAGTGTGGCGTGTCAAGTCAAACGTATCTGACCTGTTTAACCAATGGATCAACTTTAAAATAATAATAATAAAATTAATTTAATAAATATATAATAGCATTATGATTTTTTTCAATATTTTAGTTATAAAATAAGTCATGTTTTTATATTCAACCTGATGATTACTATCATTCGATTTTCTATACCTAATATTTTTCAACAACTGCTATTAAAAAAGAATCTCCAGCTAATCAAGGCAAATTGATCATTGATCACTAAAGCAATGGAATCCTCTCTGCCGTTCATAAATAATCGTTAAAGCATTTATTAATTTATGTATAATAGTTTACAGCTAACAGTAGGAAATGGTGTCTAAATGTAATGTACTCGCTAGGATCTCTATGTACGATTGATCTTGTTCCCCCAATACTGAAGTCAACTCTGTACGGAGGGAGCGATCGCCGAGAACTAAAACTCCAATGTATATTTTAACTATACAAAAAATACTGTATGCCGTGTGTGTGTCCAATGAACTTGGCTGCAACTCAGATGCGGTTTAAGTAACTGCGTGCCACCTTAAGTAATCCTCGCCTGCCATCTCGTTTCCTTCGCCTTCGGTGCCTGATTCCTGGAGCTGCCTCGTCCAACAACTCATTCAGTTGTTGGGCTCCTGCTTGTATTGTTATTGTCGGTTGTTGACTCCCTCGGGGTTGTGGCTGCTGACCATGCTGTGCTCCATGTTTTTGACGATCACATAGTTGGTGATGTGGTTGATGGCCTCGTCCTGCAGCCGTTCCGGCCAGCGCTTCATGTACGACTTGATGAAGTCGCCGAACGTGTCCACCTTATCGGGAGTGCTCTTGTGGGTGTCCACGATGTTCTTCACGATGTCCACGAACTTGTCATAGTCCTCGTGCGACTTCTTAATCTTCTGGTAGTTGGCCACGCCCCCGTTGGTGTTGCCCCCTCCGCCGCCACTGGCTCCACTTCCTCCTGCTGCCGCGTTCATTTGCTGATCCATGTTGTTATCCGCCAGGCGGGCCGATGCAGCGGCAGCCACCGCCGCCACGGCCGCCGAGGAGGCCATGAAGTTGTCCACGCTGCCTGCATTGGGCGGCGGCTGGGAGTGGTCCATAAAGTGCCGGTGCATTCCGTACTCGGTCCTGTAATTACAATCATTAGTTTGTGAAACTGAGCAGAATGTGTCATCTTTTCTGCGCTCACTTATAGAACCCCTCCGTGTTGTTGCTATTAAACTCTTGCTGAGACATTGGATTTTTCCAAACTGGTGACTCGGATGTAGATGGTAAACTGCTAGTATTAGATGCACTCGTCATGCGTTTGTCTCTGCGGAGCAAATACAAAATAGTGAGTTTGGTTCAAATTAAGGAACACATTTTGTTATTGGTTGTTGAGAGAAACGTATGAGTTTCAAAGTTAAATGTTAAGTAACTTATTGGCTTCTCTCTAGTTCTTTGTTCATGACCCACTTGTAACCGGTGTGCGCGGCCAGACTCTTGAATACATCATCCACTTGACTATAGAACTTCCAGGTGCTGATTATGCCCGTGGTCTCGAACGTCTTCTGCTCCTGCCGGTAGCGCTGTGTGAGATTGTTGACTTTGAAGTGAACCTCGAGTGCTGTTACGGGGACGCCCAGCGAGGTTAGCTGCTTGGCCATAGCCACATAGAGATGGCCATTGCGTTTGATGGTGCGCAGCTCATAGGCGCAGACTTTCCATAGTTTGATCAGCTCTAGTACACCACTATCCTCCCATTGTCGGCGCTTTTTGTTGAATTTTTCATACTGCCGGAGCGGTGAAGGGTTAATATCTTAGGAAAATCGGTTGATTCAAAGGTCACTCACAGGCATTTCACATGGGTCTTACTGCCGACAACTAGGTTTGCCCGACAAACTTCGTTTGCCAGCTGAAGCAGGACATGAAGCGGTTTATCTAGTAGGCTGGCATAGTGTACACGGATCCACTCCTGAAAAAAGTTGTTTAAGAAAACGATTATAATAGACGCATTCAAAAAAAGGTATACTACATTTGGATGTTTTATATAAATGATCTGAAGAAGTAAAGCACTAATTCAAATTATCCTTTTTTTTTCATGACCAAAAGGCTTATAAGCTTAAAATAGCACAGCATAATAATAAGTTATACAAAAACTGTTATTGTTATTTGGAAAGTTAAACAATCAAACATATGGTTTATATCCTGTTTGACGACGATTTAGTTGCAATAAATTTGTAAATTAATTTTAAAGCACCGTAAGGTTTCTGTCGTCTAATACGCCCCCTTAGCCACACATTCAGGCCAAGCATGACCTTTTTAAAGCAACGTCATTATAATTGCAGATTTTACCGGGTAATTGATGTATTCCGAGTATTCTAGATCGGACAAAAGTATGTGAAGAAACCCCTATAATGAATATATTCTCTTGATTGGCATTAACAGAAAAGTCACTTAGCACCCACACAATTTTCATTCCTAAAAAATATTTTTTGTCAAAATCCGGTTCATATTGCAATTAAATAAAATATTTTTCTAAACTAACGAAAATTGTCCACTTTCAAGATAGTTACCATGTATGATTAATTTTGAATGTACTAATAAACAACACATTTAGGTATGGAAAACATTTTCTAACAGGAAAAAGAGTAACGAGTATCCCATAGTCGGTACACTTGACTTTATCCTTTTTTTTATCTTTTAATTATCATTAAGCCGGCACACACACACCGACACAACTCGGCCTCTCCCGCACACACAAGTAATGCACACCGAACGGTAAACAAATATTAATAGTGGGAGCGAAACGAGTTGTAAATTGCATTCGGCAGAAAAAGATAGACTGCGAAGTGGATGCGGCGAAGGTTGGATTCGAAGTGAAGCGGTAATTCAAGTATACAAGTGAAGATGCGGATGAAGATGCTCTGACGACGTCGACTGCGATGCCACGATTTTTGTTGGAAAGGGGAGCCTATTTGCGGGGGGAGATGTTACTTTTCTCGAATACACACACACACTTTTCCCTTCGCTTCAGATACACACACTCACAACCACACATCCGATTTTCTTGCGTTGATTGCGTTCTATTGTTACGCTCTTCTTCTCCATGCACCAAACACAACAACAGCAACGCCAACAGTGGGGGCACAAAACTTAATAATAAGTCAAATAATTAAATTTTAATTATCTTCAAGAGGGAAACACACACGAAAAACGTAGTTGTTGTGTAGCTCCTACGCTGCGCAGCTCTCGCCATTCGACTCTATACTCTATAATGATGTTCTGGAGCGAGATAGCAACACTTGCATGAGCAACAAGGTGTGAACGGTTCAGCTAGTTTGTGATAAGTTCTGCGGCGTTGCCAGATGTGCGGAAGAAATACGTTGGGTCTTTAAATGCGCCCTAGGTGGGAAATTGAAAATGCTATTTCTTAGGGGAATAAGGAAAATATTCTCTTGCCTCAGCACAGTCATCTGGCGCTTTTCTTATGCTTCAACCTCGGCTCGTTAGGGCGCCACAATGCAAACGCATTTCATCGCTCATCATCATCATTATCAGCCCCCCAGCTCCCCAACCATATAACCCTCCCTTTCCCACAAACGCTTTTGTGGGACCATAATGCACACGCACACAGTCGCACCGACACGTATTTGCCGGTCATCATCATCATCATTAGGTTGTGCGCGCAACAACAACGGCAGCAGCTCCCAAAAGCGAACGTCATTAGCGGGCTAAATAACAAAAAATGATAATGTTGGCTGCCACACAGTCGTCATTTTGGCTTTGGGGTAAGGTAATCATCATTAAATTGCACATCGCGTCGTTGCGAGGGTGAAGGTGCGGGCGTGGCAAAGCGGAAGAAGAAGGAAAAGCTAGGAGGAAGTGAGTTTCCATAACAAGGTCACCAGAAATTTGCACGTTTATTTGGGAATTTGGCTAAAAATATTTAAGTTGTTAGAATTATAATAAGGATTTTGGTTTGGTTTTGTAAGTATGACAATTTAAAGTCCTTACTCAATTTCAAGATTGTCACCTTATTTAAAATATTAAGTTATTAAAAGATATATATTTATTGAATAAAATAATTTTTGACTAGAAACTAAGTAGGGAAAATCCAAAAAGTGTATCTTTTACTGTGAATTCCTAAAGAGAGTTTTGAATCGTACAGAGCTTTAAATATTTTTTACCCACTATTAGCTGTAACATTGCTCAGCACAGGTCGTTTCAAAATAGACAATGAATTTGTCATCATCATAATCAAGAACTCGGCATTTGTGAGGCTACAGCAGCATTACACAAGCGTGTTTCTCTTTTTTTATTTACAACAGTTATGAGCCGCTTAATAATGAAAAAAAATTTTATTTTAAATATGAAATTTTTCAACTTAATATTTTATAAAATTTCCAAAAAAAATTAAACTGTTATAATATTTATTTAAATGCATTTTAACAACATTTACGTTTTTTATTTTTAATTATTTTTTTCTATAATATTATTATATTATTATTATTTTCTATAATAACTTAATGCAGTCAGATATTTTTTCACATTATTTAAAGTGAATTGTTAACTCTATTTAAACTACCGCAATTGTTGAGATGGCTATTTGTTCGTACATACGGTTTACCTGTATACATATGTATATTTGCCGGTCATCATCATTAGGTTGTGAGGCGAAGACAGCATCAGCTCCCAAATGCGAACGTCATTAGCAACGGGCGTAGCATCCATAATGTTTCGGCTATCATCGTTAAAGTGCACAACGCCCAAAGGTGCGACTCAGCATCCCGGGGAGGATGGGGGATGCTCCCAATCAAGGTCAGCTGTCTTCTACAGCCACACATTTATTTCCTATCCTATTCCGCACTTAGACTAAACGGGGATCCCGGTATGTGTTGTTCCCCCCACTTAACTACCAGGACATAATCGCCGGGATCACACACCCTGTAGGTAATCCTGTGGATGCTCCTGCCCAAGTGCTTGACCACCACCTCCTCGCAGGGACCCCGTTGACCCAGGACGCCCACTAGGAGCATGTTGCTCCCCGCCTGGCTGCAGTCCACTGTGAACTCGTTGCGCTCCACCAGACTGACATGGGTGAGGCCCAAGCCACGGCTCTGCACTTTGCTGACATCCGAATCCAGGATTGGCACTGATGGAAAAGGGGAAAAAAATAAATTATGGGCAAGGCAATCATTTTGTATCTTATCCTATGATTCTGGTTCTTAAATACATTTTCTTCAAGTCCCTAAATGTCCCTTTACAAAAAAAAAACATTATCTTAGGTTCAATCACCGTTGTAATTAAATATCCTAAAAAGAATAATTATTGTTTAGACTCAAGTGGTATAATTTAGTGTCTCGATACGAATCAGTTTTGAAAACTATATCATTATAATGCTGTTTGAAAATATGAGCTGGTTCATGCGTTATCAAATATGATTGGTATCTCAAAAATTTGAATACTTAAATAAAGGCAAAACATGGTTACGTTATGGCTGTATGTATAATAAATAATATAGTTGGACCCAGATCAACTTTGTATGTCGTTTATAAACAAATGCTTGCCTGATGTGTTCTGCTGTTTCCCCTCAATGGATTCTGCAATCCCGGCAATGGCCACAATGATGAATGGCGAGCGGGGCAAAGTCACGGAATTGCACTTGATGTGGACCTTGTAGAGTCCCGCTCCGGCAGCCAAGTGACAATCGATCTGGAAGCGCTCCGGGTCCAACTGCTGCTGCTGGACAGGCTGGATGGGTTGTCCACTGGGTCCCTCGACGCGCACCTCGAAATTTCCCTTGACCCCGTTCCGCTTGATCACGAATCCCACCGAGCTGTTGACCCTCAGCGCTCCGCTGGGAAAGTGGAGCAGCTGCACCTTGCCGGCATCGGTCAGCTCGGGCGCCACATAAACCCGCGGCGGTTCCGCGGGATAGGCATCTGTAAATTCGGAGCGGGGAGGGGAGGGGAGGGGAGGGGGGAGTGTATAAATAGTTCGGTTCGATGCTCACTTCCTCATCGACAGTACTCACCCGCATCGGGCGTGCGCTGGTAGCGTCCAAAAATACCGCCTTCCTCCGGACTATTGCCCTCCAGGCCACTCCCACTTGGACTGGAGGTGGAGCTGGAGCTGGAGGCGGCGGCGGTGGCCTGCGTATTCAAACGCATCTCCTGCGACACTTTGAACATGCCGCAGATATTCGGGGATTGTTGGAAATATCTTTAATGACTTTCCAAATATTTGGCTCCAAATTTAATTAGCGACTGCCCGGGGCGTGCTCCTTGGACCGACTGAACTCAGTGCAGAGCACACTATGCCATTCAAAAGTTCTCGATCGCAGCGTAATGCTCTCGAAATGCCCGATTCTCGATCTCGGATCTCGGATCTCAGAGTACTCTCCCATCGCGATCGGGGCAAATGTTTATGAATTTGTTTGCCGGGCAGGCTGCCAAATATACAACATGCATTACGTATGCTTTTATGCGGATAAAGCCAGACGCGATTCCAATCTAAAACACTAAAGAACGCTGCCCGATATTCCAATTCAATTTGTTAAAAATTGAAGGCATTTTAATGTGAATTGCGAAATTAAAACACCGTTTTTTGATGGCATAAAACGCATTTAAAAACAGATCCTAGTTGCTCATGAAAAAGAAGAAGTACTTAGTTTAATTTGGTTATCTTTATTATTAGATTTGAAATTGTACTACATTTTAAATTTTTTATCATTTTTTCAATACTTCTGACCTATAAGGAATCCGTAAATAATCATTTCCGCCAGTTCGCAGACATCAGGGAATTTGAATCACTCCAATAAAGTCCGAAATAAGGTCAGCAGGCTAATAAATCAAAGACTTGGCATAGTTTCAAGTTGCAAAGGCGATTCATTGTTTAAAAGTTCCAAAGTGCTATATTTTATTTTTGTGACGAGCAGGAATTTAAATTTAAGCAATAACAAATTTAAGAACACATCTTGGTTGTGTTTATGCTGTGAAGGTCGAAAACGATGATTGGAGATTGGTGGGATTTTGGGGGAGAAGTGCATTCACTCAGGGATTTTGCCTGATGTCGAAACCGTGCTGCAAGTTATGGTAGAGATGTGGATAGACGACCATATCCGTGTTGGTCAAGTGACCGCTTTCGTAGAGAGTGCTATAGATCTGTGGAAGTATTATATGTCGGTTTGCTATGATATCCTATGATTGAGTGCACAGATAATGCTCACATTCTCGGTGATCTTGAGTGTGCGTATGGCCTCCGATCGCATGTGCAGCCAAGTGTGGCGCAGCCGCTCCTCTGCATCCGAGATGAAGCCCGGGGACCAGTTCTCCCGCATCCGGAAGAGGCTCATCCGGTTCTTCTCGCGCACCGCCCTCGGGAGCATCACAGCCAGGCGCTTCCGGGACTCCCTCTTGCTCTTTCCATTCAGCATCTGCTGCTGCTTGGCCTTCTTCTCCTCGATCTGGATTCGCATCTTCCGGGCGAGGTCCTCCCGCTTTTTACTGGCCGCCGTCTCGGCGAAAATGGACACCTGATTTGACTGAGCATAGAATCGCGAGTAGTAGGCCAACTTGGCCAAGTCCGGTGGTGGCATTATCTTCCTGAAGTTGCCCAAATGCCCATCCTCCCAGGCGATCTGTTGGGCCAGTGGTCCCTGATCCCCAGGCTCTGCCTCAATCTGGACGGGATTGCCACTAGCCTTGGCTTCTGGATTGCTCGTCTTGACATCTATTTTGGCTTTGGAGATGCCGCCATTGAGGCGATGACGTTGAGCTGGTCTGAAAGAGGGGAAAATAATCATTGATGTAACAAGGATTAGAGCCCTTTGGCTATTTAATTCCCATGATTCACATCGAAACTATATTCTTTAAAGTAATTTAAAA